TGGTGACGAATGTTCCAACCACCCCTTGAAATTTAGTCTCTAACCCAGGGTTAGAAACTAACAGTTTTTGTCCACTAGTCCTTATAATGATAACATATAGCAAAACCCTTAAAATGGGCCAATTTCTACTAGTCCTTTGGATACCTTTACTATTGGGCAGTTTGGTAAGGACTACAGGACTAGTGCCAATTTCTAACGCTGCTAACCCCAAATGTAGTAACGTTTATATATTTATGTCTTTGGGAATGCCAATGCAGTTATTTTTTTACAAGGTTTACGACTGACCATTTTCCCACATGAACGTAACTTTTTGTTTGTTTGATCAGATTGGTTCTAGATTCCAGACGAACGGAAAACCACTTAACTTCCCCCTTACATTTTTACTATACCAATTACATGATAGTTGGAATGAACTAGAAATTGAAATTGATTTACAAAGAAAATAATTAAGCAGTCATCACTTGTTTGTAAACATAACGGACATTCTGTTGCAAGATCAACTCCAAGCATGTTTATGGCCACCCATCACAGTGGGAAGTTTTGACTAGCGGCAGTTATAGTAAAGAGAGCTCCACGAACGGGCTATCGCTGTGTGAAGCTTGCACAAACATGATACAAGGGAGATAACTCACTTTATAACTCATTTTTCTCATTATTTTATATTGTTTAATGAAATTGTTTACATGATACATTCACTAAGTAGTCTTGGACATCTCTTATTAATAATTATGCATGTGCATTTCCAAAATCTCTCCTGTCACTTTGTAATAAGTACATGAATTTCATTTGAGAAATCTATCAAGTCTATTTCCGCGAGCAGTTTAAGATAGATGTAGTTTTTTTTCTGCGCATAATACTCGATTTTTTTTATTTTGCAGTATGAATCATAAACTACTCTAATATTTTAATCATTTTTATCCCCCCGGCATATAATGCGGGGGATATAGCGATCAGCCAGTCTGATTGTCCGTCCGTCCGTTCGTAATCATTTCCTTTTCCGGGGCAGAATTCCAAAACCATTCAGTGTATTTGATCGAAACTTGGCAAAGCTATCAGGCACATACTGAAGTGGTGCCCTTTCATATTTATTTTTGTACGAATTTTTATTTTTTACAATTTTTATGGAAAGAAGTTGGACCTAGACTCCATTGGGGAACGGGTTCGTTTCCGGGCCAGAATTCGAAAACCATTCAGTGGGTAAACAATGTATGCTTCTTAAATAACATTCAACTGTTGACTCATTACATAGAGAATTGCACATTTACTAGTGGTTACTTTACAGACAGCTGCCGGGGGGATATGTCATCTTTCTGATGACTCTTGTTCAAAATATCTGGGGCTATATCGGTGTCGGAGTCGGTGTTCGTATGCCGAGCATATACTGTTGTGTTGAGTTGGTCATCAGTAACTCCACCTAGGTCAAACCGCTGATTATCTATAACGCTCATCACGTATGTGGACCCCAAAGGCAGCGTTGTAGCGAGGGGTCACTGTATTTTTTGCGACCATATAGATTCAGTCACGTGCATTTACATACCTTGTACCCAAAATTATCCATAAGAACTTATTATATGCATATATTTCTTCAAAGACAACACTCTTATATATTTAATTGGACAGTAAAGTGGCCACTGGTCATTGTAGTATTTTAGCAGATACGAGTACCTACCTACATAAGTGCGGTATATAAATGTATAATATAATAATGATAAAAATTAATACTGTCAACATTACCAGACCACATCAAATAATTTATTTTGTTATTGTTGCGCTGACTATCATACATAATACATGAACCGCTGACTTGTTTTTGTATTCGTGAATATATATTCGTATTACCCTATATTCGTGATACGTATCGTATTCACCTCATAGTGTCTTCGTTGCAGCCCTACCAATTTTCGAAATCAGTCTTGACAAGTATCTCTTGGATAAGCATGCAAACTTTCGTTCAAACTTCATTAGTCTCTGAGGAAACTTGTCCCCATTACTAACACTATGCACTAAGTTGAAAAGAACGAAGCAAGGGCTATAACTCTGTAATAAAGGAATTTACGACACCAATTTTCGAACTCATTTGAGGTCATTACCAGTAACATGAGCGTGTAAAATTTCATATCTCTGATATAAATAGTTTTTGAGAAAATGCGTCCCCATTGAGAAGCGGACGGACGTACGAACTCAGTTCCTGTATCCCCCGCCCCACGTCGTAGCGGGGGTTACAAATTCATTGCACATCACATAAATCATCGTCTAATTGGGTAGAAGAGGTCTTCAGCAACCCTTGCTTGCCGTAAAAGGTGATTATGCTTGTCGTAAAAGGCGACTAACGGGATCGGGTGGTCAGGCTTGCTGACTTGGTTGATGCATGTCATCGATCCCAATTGCGTGGATCGATGCTCATGACATTAATCACTGGATTGTCTGGTCCAGACTCGATTATTTACAGACCGCCGTCATATAGCTGGAATATTGCTGAGTGCGGCGTTAAACAAGAACCAACCAACCAACCAATCTAATTGGATTGGCTTTTTTAACTTTTGACGAAGACGAGCGAAGCCATCCTGGATTGTTTGTTTACATTCTGCCGATGTCAAGATCTATGTGCCTGTATCGTTTGCATAAACACGACAAAAGATTAATACAAAGCAAAGTTTGCTATCTAATATATTATCTATCAGTACTGAATCTCATAATACACTTGCGATCACGTTTAACCCTGGTAACGACTATGGGGAAGTGATCGTGTTTCTGGTTGTAGATTTGTGAATGAATAAAAAGAAGTGCCGCCGTAACTTCTCAGAAATCAAATTACGTAATTAATAACTGAACCAATAACAAAGCAGGAAAACATCCCCCCCCCCCCCCCCCCCCCCCAACCCTCTCCCATTTGGGTGATGAGATCGGTGAGATTGGCCTAGGGACTTGTATCATATTCTGCCGCCCCCACCCACCATTTTATGCAGCGTTTATTTCAACGTTCCGTTTATCACTACAATTAACGTTTATTTCAAAGTTCAATATTTCACTACAATTATCGTTTATTTCAAAGTTCAATATTTCACTACAATTAACGTTTATTTCAACGTTCCATATATCACTACAATTAACGTTTATTTCAACGTTCAATATTTCACTACAATTAACGTCTATTTCAACGTTCAATATTTCACTACAATTAACGTCTATTTCAACGTTCAATATTTCACTACAATTAACGTTTATTTCAACGTTCAATATATCACTACAATTAACGTTTATTTCAAAGTTCAATATATCACTATAATTAACGTTTATTTCAACGTTCAATATATCACTACAATTAACGTTTATTTCAACGTTCAATATATCACTACAATTAACGTTTATTTCAAAGTTCAATACATCACTATGAACAACGTTTATTTCAAATTTCAATATAGACAATGGAAATATACTGTATATATATTTGCATGCTGATTTAATAATGATTCACCGTTCAACACTGTGTTTCCGTTCGAATGTTCATGACTTGGAAGAGAAATTTACCTAAGCTTTTTATTATTTGTTCGTTTTCAGCTGACATAAATCTTATAAAATTCTCAATAGAGGGAGGGGTAACGAGACGCTTGGGAAAGAGTTTCTTCTTGCTCTAGAATACTGGTCACAAATCATAAGAACATGGAATTCATCTTCAACATGGTTATGTCCCATCGAAAAACAGAAAGTGCAGACACGTTCATTATATGGGATGTTGTTGTGACGCCGCAGTTCAACAGCAAGTCTGAAATTATTACACCGGAACATGGCTTAAGTCTACGTTGGTAAGAAGACATATCACATGTAATATATGATTCCACATTTAGTAATGACTTGAACTGTGAGTAGTAATTGCATTTCGTTGATGCTGTGAGGGAAAAGTGCCAATATTGAGTGAGGCAGTCGTAAAATCTTCGTTTAATTTAAATCTGTCATGAAATGTTGAATATTACAAATGTCTTGGCTTAGCCAAACAAAACCAAATCCAAACTGGAATAAAATCATTCCAATATGTGAGGCCCATGTAATTTTACCAGTATCATCAAGAGATTTTAGTATATACTAAGCTTGGATGGGTAGCCTGTGTTGTTCCATCTGAATTAGTCTGCACCAGTACTTGACTGCTCTTGACATGTAGTTATACTGTAGGGGATCCTACCACAGTCTCCTAGAACCATGTTGTTAATGGTGGACTTATTTACTTTCAAAAAGGATTTGCAGAATCTGTTCAATTTATCACTGCAATTAACGTTTATTTCAACGTTCAATATATCACTATAATTAACGTGTATTTTAAAGTTCAATATTTCACTACACTTAACGTTTATTTCAACATTCAATATATCAAAACAATTAACATTTATAACAAATGTTATATTTGGGATAACACTTTCTTTGTAAAGTACAGATTCTTGTACTTTTTATTTCAACTTTCAATATATCACTACAATTAACGCATATTTCAATGTTCAGCACATTGCAACAATTATCGTTGTTTCAACGTTCAACTAACACATTGCAATAAATATCGTTGTTTTCAACGTTCAACAAACACATTGCGACAATTATCGTTGTTTACAACGTTCAACAAAGACATTGCGACAATTATCGTTGTTTTCAACGTTCAACAAACACATTGCGACAATTATCGTTGTTTTCAGCTTATATGATGCGACCACATAGTTGTTTTCGCAACGTTGAATATGACGCCACCAAATCTTTGGTCAACAGATTGCGATATTTATCGTTGTTTTCATCGTTCAACAATCACAATGCGACAATTATAGTTGTTTACAATGTTCAACAAACACATTGCGACAATTATCGTTGTTTAAAATGTTCAACGTTGACGAAGGTGCGATAATAATCGTTGTATCAACGACCAACGTTGACAGTCATAATGTCTGCTTGCTAGTAAATACAAAAAAACATTACAACTTTTCCACAACCTAAGCCAAATAGAGTTAACTAGTGCGCCCTACCTTGATCGTCCTCAACGTGTACGGCAACCAGACTGACGACGTTCATTCAGAAACTGAAATAATTCATCTGTTTGATATCGCTGAAGCTGCCCAACAAGTCTTTTCACATGACACGTGACCCGCTTCTGTAAATGACGTGACGCCCCTCTGCAACTGAGAAATGTAAACAAATATAATCACTCTTGAGAAAAGAGTAAACAGATAAACAGGTCAGCTCCTGACGTAAAGAACTTATGGGTGTTAATATTAATTAGGTATAGCTTTAATTAGCATCAAACATGAGTGAGTTCTCTTCAACGTCATGTTGTATTATTATTTTCGTGAAGATCCGGGGTAGAATAGGTCTTCAGCAACCCATGCTTGTCGTAAAAGGCGACTTACGGGATCGGATGGTCAGACTCGCTGACTTGGTTGATGCATGTCATCGATCCCAATTGCGTGGATCGATGCTCATGATATTAATCACTGGATTGTCCGGTCTAGACTCGATTATTTACAGACCGCCGTCATAGAGCTGTAATATTGCCGGGGGCGGCATTAAACAACAAACAAACCAATCTTGTTTGTCAATTTAAATTTCTATTTCATTTCAACCATCATGTAAATGGGTCAGTAAGAATGTAAAGTGGAAGTTGCCCGTTAGTCTGCAATCTCGAACCAATTTGATTACACAAACAAAACCTAAATTCATCTGGGAAATTGTAAGTCAGTCGTAACCCTTTTCAAAACGTTACTATGATGGCATTACCACAGGCACACACCAAAATATAAAGTCACTACTTTTGGGGTTAGAGGGAAAATTTCAAGATTCTTGCAATGGCCGCTTGTACTTTGGTGGCAGCGATAATACCGGAAGGGTAACGAAGGTCTCACGCAGTGGGAAGAAGCTTGTATAACGGGATCGGTTCCGAACTGGTTTTACCACACTGTGACGTTAACCACTGGGGACGCTACAGCCGCCCATTCATCACATCCTCCGGAGTTGTTTACAACGTACATTGATACACGCGAGATCACTGCTTGACTACGCGAGTGACTGCAGTCGCGAGAGACGAGTTATTTCTGTATAAAGGCCACTTGCCCGAAATACAATCATCAGATGATTAGACCCGTGAAGATCCGGGTTAAAACAGGTCTTCAGCAACCCATGCTTCCCGTAAAAGGCGACTGTGCTTGTCGTAAGAGGCGACTAACGGGATCGGGTGGTCAGGCTCGCTGACTTGGTTGATGCATGTCATCGTATCCCAATTGTGTAGATCGATGCTACGGCAAGCATGGGCTGCTGTAGACCTGGGACTGACTATAAAAGTCCAGTTTCCACCGTTGCCGAAAAAGGCTGGAATTTCTGGGCTCGATCGTAACGCCATCTCTCATATCATTTGCATTTGCTTCAAACTAAACGTCGGCGCCGAGTCAAGACGATCTGATCGATAATCAAGATCTATATTGCAATAAAACGGGTCTTACATCGCGAAGAGCATCAAATCACGTGAGCACCTTGATTAAGAACATGAAAAGATTTGGAAAATATCAGTTGACGCCGAGTTGGTGGTCAACATACTTTGCAAATCCTGCAATCGACCGAAATCTGTATGATAGTTTACGAACCTGATGTCGATTTCGTTACGCAATTTTGATTGGACTATGCATAGACTCGTTAGCCCAGCCAAAATATAACTCCATAATTCCACCCTAGTTCGGCAAGGGTGGAAACTGGACTTTTATAGTCCAGGGAAGAGGTGAGGTGAGGTGAAATGGGGTTTAACGTCGCGTCCAAGATTATTGCACATATATAGCGACGTGCACGTGTATGTGTGTTTGTGTGTCTGCGTGTACTAATCCGGACTGATGCTGATTTATAGTGCTAGCTCACTGAGATACCATGCCGCAGTTTAACATGAATACCCCACTCAGACACAGTATACTGACTCCGAGCCGACCAGTCCTTGTTTAAGTCCCTTAATGCCGAGCGCCAGACAGGGTAACAACAAGTACCAATCTTTTAACGTCTTTTGGTATGACGCGGCTTGGGATCGAACCCCGGACCTTCAACTCTCCGGGCGGACGCTCTACCATTAGACCACGGAGGCGGTTGCCCAGGGAAGATGGCTAATTGTATGATGTATAGTCAAATGGCAGTGTAACAGAACACTACATAGTAAGCCGCATGGTTATGTTTTAACGTATCATTTCAAGTCAGGAAAAAATAGTTAAAAGGCTTAATGTCAAATTCAATTATTTAATATGTTCCTAACATGCCCAAACTGGACGTTCCACATTTGCATACATTTGCATACATGACCTCGCGGAACGTGTACTTCCGTGCTGAAATTTGCCGTGCTATACATGCGAGCTTTTTCGCGGACAGTTCACATCAGCGCAACACACACCATCTGCATCTGTCAGTGGCATTTTGTTTATTAAATAAGGCAATGAGTGAGTGAGTTGGGTTTAACGCCGCTTTTAACAGTATTCCAGTTATATCACGGCGTGTCAGCTTAATGTGGGAGGAAAGCCCGAAGTGATGCAGGTCTCTGACGTTAACCACTTCGGTGAAACCCACGAGCACGGTTATGGTGCTGACAAACCTTGAAACATAATCGGGGCGAACCGGGATTCGAACCCACAATCATAGGTTTCTGGCGTGCCCAAGGGACGCAACTCTGCACAGCGAATCGCGGCGCCTTAGACGACTGGGCCACCCGTGCCCCCAATAAGGCAATGACAACGGCGATAACTTTAGTTGAAATCATTAGAACACGTATAGACAGAAAAGTTCAGAGAATAAGAAATACATTAACGTTGAAGATAGATGTTTGGAATTTCATTTCATTCAATCTTGAGAATATAGTGAATAAATACCAACGAAATATTACACTTCAGTTGAGGTATGTTAACACTTGCAGGCTGTGACTACGATGTTCACACGATATACAGTGCGCCCAGCCATTAAGGTCCATTCCCACGACGCCAGCATAGTAAACAATATATATATGTGCATAGAGGATACTTTAAGCAAACAAGGTTTGAAGGGGATTGGGGACAAGTTCTTCCAACTTAGAATGCCCTCTCCCTGGTATTTACAAAAAAATTACAATTTCAAATTCAATATATATGCATACAACACTATAGATGAGAGAGAGAAATAGAGAGAGCTAGATAGATAGATAGATAGATAGATATACATTGTTGAATGAACAGTTCTTTACACAAATCTTTTAGTTGTACATATATAACGTTGTACTGCCTTAAATATAGCTTCATTTTCTGTAACAACGTGATCTGCATTGCCGTATAACAGTAAGTGTACATCAACAGGTATGTTATGAACAAAAAATTTAAGACTGTTAAACATAATTTCACGCTGATGACTAAACAATGTACATTCCATGAGATAATGATATGCATTTTCACATGTATTCGAACATGTACAGTTCGGGTGATCTTTTATACCAATTCTATATAAATCATAATTCAACTGACTGCACATGTATCTCAGTTTTGTGTGTAAGATATTATATTTTCTTTTTCCATAAGCGAAGTACGCAATTCTATCTTTTGACGGCGTTGCAGAGAGCTCCAGATAACTTTTTGAGCAATTGAGTTTTTACTGGAAGGTTTCTTTTTTAATTGCGTTATTACATTTTTCATTGGATAACCAATATCTTTTCACTCATCTATTCATCATTCTTTTTGGAGTTTTCCCAAAATGAGTTAACATTTTGAGATTTCAAAAAAAATAATGTTTCAGATGTATGTAAGGGTTCTTACTATAAGCTTGACTCGGAAAGTAAATTAGCTCCTAATTGTGTTTTGGAAATTAGCTTCATTGTACGCATGCTGAAAAAGCTTCATTGGATATTTCCGCATGCTGTTTTTATACATTTGAGTTTTTCATTTCATGCATGCGTTTCTGTACGCAAGTTGATTGAAAGTAATTGGGTTTTGAATATTTCAGGGGTATTCTACGCACATACGCAGCTTGTCTGTAGCTCTGGCTTTGGTACAAGCAAACCATTTGGGGATTCGATTATGGACGAGGTCGGAAATGGGTATAGAACACCCTAGGACAATCCGGCACACGCAAGTTTCGTAGCGGCGTTGTCCCGCTAGTGGTGCCTAACTTTTGACGGCGTTGGTACAAGCAAACCCTTCAAGGATTCGATCATGGACGAGGTCGAAAATTGGTATAGGACACCCTGGGACACTCGGGCATACCCCCGTTTCATAGCGGCGATATGCTGCCAGCAGTGCCTTACTTTTAACGTCACTTCCGTCACTGACCCGTGAGGATTCCGGGGTAGAATAGGTCTTCAGCAACCCATGCTTCCCGTAAAAGGTGACTATGCTTGTCGTAAAAGGCGACTAAAAGGATCGGGTGGTCAGGCTCGCTGTCTTGGTTGATGCATGTTATCGATCCCAATTGCGTGGATCGATGCTCATGATTTCAATCACTGGATTGTCTGTTCCAGACTCGATTATTTACAGACCGCCGTCATATAGCTGGAATATTGCTGAGTGCGGCGTTAAACAACAAACCAACCAACCAACCAACTGCAGCATTAGAAATTGGCACTAGTCCTGTAGTCCTTACCAAACTGCCCAATGGTAAAGGTATCCTAAGGACTAGTAGAAATTGGCCCATTTTAAGGGTTTTGTTGTTTGTTATCATTATAAGGACTAGTGGACGAAAACTGTTAGTTTCTAACCTTGAACTTCCGTCAATTTCTCATGCCCCGAGGTTGCAGTCGTCTTTGTTATCGTGGTTTCATGTATACAAGATAAAAAGGGAGGTTTATTGTATTGGAGAAGCGGAATGATAACTAATCGCTGGATTGTCTTCAGATTTGGTACTATGTTGATATACAGGCGGGGGACATTTCGTCACTTTGTGACAAATACTTGTTTTGCTAAACTCCCACTTCCATACTGCCGACACCTTCTAAAAGTGTTAATTGTATTCTTGATAAGGTAAGACGGCCAGACCACGTGGTACCTCGACCACAATCCACATGCCTCTTGTGCAGTCGTCCGGATGACTAACTCTTAGCCTCGAAAGACAGGAGCCCCAGTGAGATGGAGATTCAATGTTGTTGTTGCTTTAAGTGTTTACGAGGTCGCCTTCTGCCTTAGCAATTTCGGCTGACCTGTCCCTCTTTGGGACTCCTGTGTGTGAGTAGGGTACACATATTTATTGTGAGTTTGGTATTCACCGAATTTCTGTTTTTGTATGGATTGATATATTTTCGTATATTGATATAATTTCATTTTTATCTTTGGCTGCTCTCTTTATATACGTTCGAGTAGCTGTCCATCTCTCAGAAATAGAGTAAGTTCGGCCTTCGCTAGTGCATCTCTTGGCTTCAGGAGATCTACGACAGATAGCGGATCTAACTGCAATTCTTATTTTAACCGAGCCGGGCTGGAGCGTGGTCTTGACATTCCAGTAACACGTGAGCAATGGATTCAGGTTGATTGTAAGATGGGTGAGATTCAAATTCAAAAGTATCTATTGTACAGTAAACTACGGTTATAACGAACTCAAATGGACCACTTATTTTAGTTCGTTACAACCGTAGTTCGTTATAAGCATATTTACAAGATCTATACAGCAATTATGTCAAGGACCAAAAATTATGTTCGTAATATCCGTCAGTTCGTTATAAGCGTGTTCGTTATAAACGTATTTTACTGCATAATGTGTGGCGAGGATGTAGATAACGCTCGTTACAGAAGACTAATTTTCAATGGAAGTGAAAAGCACGGCAACCGTCTTAACTTGAAGGTGTCCTGAAAGTTTTTTACTGAGAGAGTGCTTTATAAACATTGTGTGTAATAACAGCATGGTGTCGTGACAAGACGTGAAGAGGCCAACAGCTGAGGTCGTCCTTTGTCAAATCGTGTGTTGTACAAACCCCTCAGAACTACGCTTTGTAAAAGATCAAGGACCGTGACTTATCGGTTAGTGTGACCAGAGCATTACAAAGACAGGCCTTATATTTCCTGACCGTATACGACCGCCTCCGTGGTCTAGTGGTAGAGCGTCCGCCCGGAGAGCGGAAGGTCCGGGGTTTGATCCCCGGCCGCGTCATACCAAAAGACGTTAAAAGATGGTACTTGTTGTTACCCTGTCTGGCGCTCGGCATTAAGGTGCTAAAACAAGGACTGGTCGGCTCGGAGTATCTGTGTCAGTATCGCATGGAGAACTGACCAGTAGGTTGAGTCCCGCTAGACAAGCCAGTATGTCGATATGTCACAAACAAATTCAAAGACAATTCTTTTTACGTCATTTGTTCTAAAAAAAACTACGGAAACATTGTTGCACAAACACAGTGATCCTAGTCCTCATTATAGCGTAAAAGATATTTTGTCCTTAAGAGTGAGTGAGTGAGTGAGTGAGTGAGTTTGGTTTAACGCCGCTTTTAACAGTATTCCAGTTATATTGCGGCGTGTCAGCTTAATGTGGGAGGAAAGCCCGAAGTGATGCATGTCTCAGACGTTTACCACTTCGATGAAACCCACGAGCACAGGTATGGAGCTGACAAACCTAGAAACATAATCGGGGCGAACCGGGATTCAAAAACCCACGATCATATGTTTCTTGCGTGCCCAAGGGACGCAACTCTGCACAGCGAATCGCGGCGCCTTAGACGACTGGGCCACCCGTGCCCCCATGTCTCTCGCGATAGGAGCATTCAATTCTTTCTTGAACAGAAGGAAGAAACCGAAATTTATAGAGCTATTCAGTCTCCCTGGTTAAAAGCTTACATTGATTCCAACAACGAGAAATGAAAGCAGGCCCAAACTGAGGCAAACAACTCAGTTTTGGTCGTACAGCGATGGACGTACTGTGTGTTTATGTAGAATTAGTAAACACTCCCAAACACGTTAGGATATCGTGTGCCAAGTCAACACTTGAAGCGTTCAAAACATTAAATTATAACTTGACGGCAGTTCACCTAAAGAAAACAAGCCTGTTTATACCGAATTCAGCAATTAAGATTACTAAGAATTGTAAAATATGTTGGTTGGTTGGTTGGCTGGTTGGTTTGTTGTTTAACGCCGCACTCAGCAATGTGTGACCGCTGTATTGTTTGAATTTTACCCATCTATTGTGTAATGGAGAAACCATGACACCGGTCATGTGCCTACCCGGTTATACAATCATACCATTCCTGAGGTGGAATGGTTTGTCCAACTTATAAACCGCTATCCATTTATCTATTTCATTTTTGGAGCTTATATTTACGCGGTATACGGGTCGCAAATAAGCGCGGTATAACGAGACACGCTTTATAACTGTTGTTATCGCGGGCCGCTGCGCGGACTGCACGTGCAGAAGAGGGCTGTACGTGCAGAAAGAACCGCGTGCGTCGTACCACATGGCATTGTGTCGTTGACTGTTCACAAGAGAGGATGTCTGACGATGACGATATTTTCCTTACTCAAAGTAAGTTAATTGATGAAAATTCTGCAGAAAAGGATGAGCATGACTTTTGTTTCCGTTTTGGAGACCCTTTGTCAGGTTTTACAATTGCTCCCCAGGTTTTACAATTGCAAAACCTGAGGAGCAATTGTAAAACCTGCTGAGTGGTCTTACTACAAAAGAAAGGTCGTCTGGGAGATGGTCACAACACCATGATAGGTTTATAAATAGATATAAGGGGCGGTCGGGTAGACTATGGTTAAAGCGTTCGCTCGTCACGCCTAACATCCGCCTTATTTGTCAAAGCTACTATACTCTTAAAGGCCCACCAGAGCTTAACGATCTCAACAACGAAATACCCTGCCTCAAACACAGATCTGACATCGTTCGGCAAAAGAATTTTCAAAGCAGCAGCACTATAATTAACATCGTTCATCTCATAAAAGCCCACAGCTTGACAAAGATCTCAATGGCTATACACATGAGAATGGTAGTTAAGGGCTGCATATATGCTTTTTACGCTCACTCACAAAATTATTCTTTGAGTTTATATTTGCAAATATCTTTGAAATCTATACGTGTATCATTTTGATGTAGCTTCTTTTGCATGTTTCAGTGGATGGATTCAGAGACCACATTATATGGTCTCTGATGGATTTTGTGCCTTATTATTTATTCAGTGAGTGAAAAGTTTGCGACAGAGGAGTGAGTGAGTTAAATTTAACGTTGCATCGGCATTAATTCAATCATACAGCGACGAGACCAAGTTTAATATAACAATTGAGTCATTTATGCAAAGTAATATTTAAAAACAATTCATGAAACATTTGAGCATACTATATTTAAAAACAATTTATGAAACATATTTGAGCATAATAATACCTGGTTCACAGTGTTAAAACACAGGCTATAGGCCACCAGTAACGAGCCAGCCCACATCGCTGGGGATCATGGGGACTTACAGTACCTCGGCTTCCTGCATGATACCCCAGCAGGATTTACGTCATCACTTTAGGTGCTGGTGGTTGTGACCAATACTAGCCAATATAAAAAAATACTCATCAATGAGTTGGCTGAAAAACACTGGTTGATGATAGCTACATCGATTATGACAGGATTACATGTCAAACAGGGGGACAATATTTTACCCTACGTCAACCTCGTGGACAGAGCCTTCAATAATGTCAGTTGATGATAGTGTAGCTATAGCAGGGCGTGGAGTCATCCCACGGATGACATCCTTACCTTGTCAGCTTGCTGACGGGCTTAACCTCCTTCGTCATGTGGACAAGGCGCCCGACTTCTGATCAGAAGGTCCGTGTTCGAATCCCATCACTGGAATCGGAAATTTTCCGTCGCTACATTAGCATCACACCAAATTCAAAAACAAGCATTTAATTATTCACACACATATTTCAAACTTATAATACAGGCCAATTACTTTCAAATAGCTGATAATGAGATGCACGCTAACACGGGAATTGCGACAGAGGAGAGCGTCACGCTTGAATTGTTTAAACTTTGAACACATGTTTGCAGATGTAGAGTTGCTATTAACGAACGGGCAACGAGGAATTCGACGAATGTCCAGGGTGAAATTAGCATTTACAGGAACCAACACAGCTCATGATTTTATGTAAATAAAAAACGCAGCCACAATCTACTTGATAAAAAACACAGCCTCGATGAAAAGGCTCGACCTTAGGTTGAATTTGAAATGCGCCGTAAATAACATCACAGCCCCTAAAAATGAAGAGAAAACAAACACGACTCTACCCAAAAACCTGCCATTATCAAATGGCATATGACACGAGAGACATCACCCAGGACGTTGCAAATCACATTGTTCTAATGGAATACGCCTTGTGTTTTGCTACTGATCATACTCTGAGACTGAAAATGCTGAAGATGTATATTTACCTTAAAGAAACTTGTACATCGAATGGAAAATGTGTAACAATGTTTTCAGCAACTGCAACACATAGCGTCCCCTCATCCAGACCTGTTTGACAAGTGAGAGACACACTCGGTATCACTTGCCATGCTCTGATAGTCGCAAACATGAACATCGCCTGTATTGCTATCGCTGGGCTGAACTTATTCGAGGGTCACGTTGTGAAGTCTTCACACGCTCGCCCACACAAAATGTATTCTAAAACTTCCCTAACTGGATATGTAAATATTTAAATTCAGTAACTTGATGAAAGGTAGCATAGCTTGGCAAAAATGTTGGATATGCGCATATGTCGAAAACGTCAATGACAGCTATACTAACGTCCAAAAGAAACGATACCAACTATTGTTTTTAATATTTTTTGTTATAAGTGATTTAGTTTATATGTAAACATTCTTAAACATATCCCACGTACCAAGCAAAATGATATCGGCGGACAAAAGCTGTAAAATTTGACAATTTGTGTAAAAGAAGTGCACTTTGCAAAAACGATATCAGGTGCCGTAGCACGAAATGCACGTGCAGATCTATTGTCATCTTCCAAAGGCAAGGGAGATAACTGAGTGTAAAAGTCTGGTTTCCGACCTTGCCGAACTAGGCTGAAATTTCTGGGCTCGATCGTAGGGCCACCAGTGGCTATTACGAGTTATCCCCCTTCTATGCCCCTCCTTTTGACCAATCAGATTCCATCTCTCATATCACTTGCACTTGCTTCTAACAAAATGGCGGCGCCCAGTCAAGACGACATGATCGATGATCAAGATCTATATTGTGATAAAACGGGTCTTACCTCGCGAAATGCATCAAATCACGTGAGCACCTTGATTAAAAACATGAAGAGATTTTGAAAATATCTGTCGACGAGTTGACGTTACACATCCTCTGCAAATCCTGGAACACGGGGGGGGCAGCCGTCTAAGGCGCCGCAATTCGCTGTGCAGAGTTGCGTCCCTTTTGCACGCCAGAAACCTATGAATGTGGGTTCGAATCCCGATTCGCCCCGATTATGTTTCTAGGTTTGTCAGCACCATAACCGTGCTCGTGGGTTTCACCGAAGTGGTAAACGTCTGAGACCTGCATCACTTCGGGCTTTCCTCCAACATTAAGCTGACACGCCGCGATATAACTGTAATACTGTTAAAAGCGGCGTTAAACCCCACTCACTCACTCACTCACTCACTCACTCTGCAAATCCTGCAGTCGACTGAAATCTGCACGATGTAATCCATATTGTTTACGAACCGGATGTCGATTTCGTTACGCGATTTGGATTGGACTATGCATAGGCTCGTTAGTCCAGCCAAACTGTAACTCTGGCAAAATTTTCTGGTAAAATATTCCAAAGTTGTGTTGTAGCTGGTATCTATAATGAATCTGCTTAAGCTTTTGTTTTACACTTTACTGTTTGAAGATTAGTTTTATCTATTCCGAAACTGTATTAGGAATAAGCCTACAAAGATATTCCGATGAGAAATGATTATTCATTTTGTAAAACATTACCAATTTTGAATTGTATCTGTTTTTTTAACAATTTGTTTGATTTTTATAGTTTCCAAGGTAGTTCGGGATAGACGATATCTATAACTTCTTAAACAGTTAACCAGAGGACAACATTTCCTTACAATATCATCAATGTGCATTTTCCATGTACAATTACTTTGTAAAGTAACACCTAGGTGTTTATGACTTTGTACATCTTAGATTTCTGCACCATTCATATATAAGTTAGGTTTGCGACTATGGTTTACTTTACGGATAAATTGAATAGAATCAGTTTTTTCGGGACTAAATTTAACTTGCCATCTAGCAGCTCATTCTGAAATTCTGTTCAAGTCATCATTGAGATTACGAGCCGCTATATCAGGATCCTCTATGATCACATACGGACCGCCTCCGTGGTCTAGTGGTAGAGCGTCCGCCCGGAGAGCGGAAGGTCCGGGGTTCGATCCCCGACCGCGTCATACCAAAAGACATTAAAAGATGGTACGTGTTGTTACCCTGTCTGGCGCTCGGCAACAAGGGGCCAAAACAAGGACTGGTCGGCTCGGAGTCGGTATACTGTGTCTGAGTGAAGTATTCATGTTAAACTGCGGCATGGTATCTCAGTGAGCTAGCACTATAAATCGGCATCAGTCCGGACTAGTACAAGCAGCCACACACACACATACACGTCGCTATATAAGTGCAATAATCTTGGACGCGACGTTAAACCCCATTTCACCTCACCTATGATCACATACAAAGATGTGTCACCAGCAAAAAGTCTTATATTACTATTTATTCCTTCAACAATTTCATCGATATAGATAATAAACAATAATGGTCCCAAGACCGAGCCCTGTGGCACCCCTGCCAAGACAGCCTTTGGATCTGAGCTATAGCCATTTATAACTACCTTTTGAAATCGTTTTTCTAAAAAACTATCACATAATAACTTTCCACAGATACCAGAAAGCTGTCAAGATCGCAGACAATCTCGTATATATTTACAAGAAAGAAGTGAGCGAAGCTCACATACCCCCGTTATCCCCGCTGGTCAACAACAAATAGTAAATAGTTTGTTAATTAATGAAATATTACATATTTCTAACTGATTTTAACTTCAATGTTTTAAAAACTAAGATTGAGTTCAAGTGACAATTGACCCCCCCAATCTCCCATGTTACCAGTGTTCACTGTACGAGGAAGTAGATCACCATGAACACCTTAGAATAAGAATTTGATTGAGGAGTTACATAAGAAGAATTATCACAAGGACCAAAATTTGTTGATATAAAAACACATAAAAAATGGAACAATATCATATAAGAAAATCAATAAATTAATAATTTCCATCTAGCCTTAAGAGGTAAAGAATTCATAAATTCAAACTAACACAAAGCACAGATACTGATGATGATCTACATGTGTGGAAACAATTTTGGAAAATATATTAGCTAAACAAAACCAGTCATCACAATTTCTAAATTCCATCATGTTTCCATGAAAACAGCAAAAAAGAAAACTTTCAGAATCTTATAAAAGATATAAAAAAAATCCTAGTGGTTATTGTAGCAAGTTTGCTGAAGCTAGGATACATAATATTGTAAACATGGATCGTACAAAAACTCTACCCAAAATGTATGCTTCACAATGATTCCATGGAGACGGCAAAAATAAAAAAATTCAGAATCTTCAAACTAGCAAAAGGCACAAGTACTCATTGTGGTAAATATGTGTAGCAAGTTTGGTGAAGCTAGGGTGCAAAGTTAAAAAGATATAGGCCGTACAAAACACCCACCCTAAAAGTTTAAGTTTCTAATGTTTCCATGGAAACGGCAAAAATTAAAAACTTCAGAATCTTCAAACGTGCAAAAAGGCACAAGTACTCATTGTGGTCAATGTGTGTAGCAAGTTTGGTGAAGCTAGGGTGCATGGTTAAAAAGTTATGGGCCGTACAAAAGCTCGGACGGAAGGACGGACGGAAGGACGGACGAACGGAACCCTATATACCCCCAATTTACTTCGTAAACGGGGGTATAATTAATGTAAGTACTTTTGATAGATGTATTATGGTATGGTTAAATTAGTATACATGTATTAAGCTTGGCGGGGTGTTTTTAGATAGTGTCAGGTAATACTATGTGACCAGGTTAGGTTCAGGGAAGCGTGACCGGGTAGGGCTGATCGCTGGGGAGTTACTTGGTTTAACAATAGGGAAGTCACGGTTAGCCTGGATTATGGGGTCAGTTTAAAAAGCGGGGCAGGGTAATAATTTGTACAGTCGACAGCCAGAATGGGTATGTTCAGATAAGGCATGGACTGACATTGTGGGAGCTTTCTACTCTGGTTGGCGTAACGTTTTTACATTTATTTGTTTCATGAAGGGTTGTATTATAGAAGATAGAATTTTACGTTATGCATTGTTATAATGTGTCAGGTGAGGTGAAATTGGGTTTAACGTCGCGTCCAAGATAAGTGCACTTATATAGCGACGTGCATGTACGTGTGTGTGTTTGTGTGGCTGCTTGTACTAGTCCGGACTGATGCCGATTTATAGTGCTAGCACACTGAGATACCATGCCGCAGTTTAACATGAATACCCCACCCAGACACAGTATACTGACTCCGAGCCGACCAGTCCTTGTTTTAGCCCCTTAATGCCGAGGGCCAGACAGGGTAACAACAAGTACCATCTTTTAACGTCTTTTGGTATGACGCGGCCGGGGATCGAACCCTGGACCCTCCGCTCTCCTATTATATTACTATTATACATGTACTTAGTATTAGTATGGTGAGTGAGTGAGTATGCTTTTAGCAATATTCCAGCAACATCACGGCGGGGGACACCAGAAATGGGCTTCACACATTGTACAAATGTCGGAAATCGAACCCGGGTCGTCGGCGTGACGAGCGAACGCTTTAACCACTAGGCTACCAGACCCCCCATATTAGTAGTTTCGTGATAGTAGGACACTCGTAACAAAAGTAGGCTAGATAAGTAAAGCTTGATCAGTTATTGTTAGTCAATTTGGAATTAGTTTGTATATAAGTATTGTTATTGGGGTTTATAACGTTACTTAAGGGTGGGAATAAATATTTTTAAAAACATTTTTGTGTTCATGGTTATTTCAATACGTGACAGTAGCTTATAAATTATTCCTTTGTGCCAAACGTTATCAAAAGCTTTACTTAAGTCACAAAATACAGTTCTAACTTCCCTACATTTATCTAAAGCCTTTGCAATAAAGTCATATAAATATGTTAACTGATTTGAGATTGAGTCACCCTGGGTGAATCTAGATTGTAGGTTAGTGAGCCCATTATTGTTCCTTTAATAGTTATACACATGTTTAATTATACATTTTTCAAATATCAGTCGTCTAAGGCGCCGCGATTCGCTGTGCAGAGTTGCGTCCCTTGGACACGCCAGAAACCTATGATTGTGGGTTCGAATCCCGGTTCGCCCCGATTCGCCCCGATTAAGTTTCTAGGTTTGTCAGCACCATACCCGTGCTCGTGGGTTTCACCGAAGTGGTAAACGTCTGAGACCTGCATCACTTCGGGCTTTCCTCCCACATTAAGCTGACACGCCGTGATATAACTGG